TTTTTAGCTAGTATTTCTGTATTCTCCCATTTGATATTATGCTTAGGATTTTGTTAGATGTGTTCTGCTATTGCTGATTTATTATATTCTTGTTTTATAACTGCGCGATTCATTTAGGTGGTAATGACATCATTTAGGTGGTAATGACATCGCGGCGACATCGTCACCTGTGGATATATATACCATAGAATAATTAGAATTTGTTCAATAGTGACAATATTTGAAGAATCAGTAAAATTTTGACAACAGTGGATTTTTCAAAGGCGTCTGCTTTGGAACCGGATTCATTTAAAAGACAAAGGAAACGCATTAATCAATATATAAAGATAAATTTGTGTGCTTTCCTGACATATCATACCCAAATGACTTTTTTACAGGACCGTGTGCCAGTGATGGGATTCCAAAATTTTAGTTGTCGGACATTTTCTTCACGAAAATAAGGGGACATAACTCTTATCATTATTTAAGCAGGCGTTTTCAAACCATAATTAAGAATCACGTGTCAACAAAATATTCAAATTCATATGTATTAGAAAAAATAGGTGTACCTCGTTATTTTTCATATTTAATTCCTGTACTGTATTCAAATTTATGTCAATAATATTTCTACAAAATTACATGACATCGTAATACCATAGAATGAAAGCCTGCCGACTACTGCCCATCCGTACCATTTTCAAATTCTCCCAAAATTACCATATTTTTCGGGTCATAAGTCGATACATTTTTCAGCAAAGTCCGGCATTTGTCTTATACTCCGTTTCGATTTATATACGGAAAGTAAAAAAATGACATCCCGAAATTTATTTGACCGTAAACCGTAGTAAACGTCGCTCTAATACAACGAGTGAGTGACACCGCAACTGCTAAAAAATCCCAACCCTAAGCACGCGCTATCGTCTAAAACAATTACCGTAACTACTTACGTTATTCCAATCAAAATATTCGTCAACATTTCTTACACTTAGCGTGTTTATTTATTTATTTAAAAACATAAACCCCATTCAAAATATGATCATAAATCCGACAATATGCCATCAAAAAAGAATCTTTTCTTTCGACATCAGACGTATTAGATTCGGCATGTTTACACCTCTTAATTCCACGTGCCTCGCAAGATTTCTACTTTCATTTTGTGTGTGTGTGAAATAGCTTTATTGAACTTCCACTGAAGAAATATCACAGACAAGTTACACAATGTGTGTGTGTTAGTTGTATTTTACGTCCGCTTCCACCGAGGTGATATCGCAGACAAAACACAATGTATATTGATTTGGGGTGTTATATACTATTAGGATATGTGACATATATGACTACGGCCAACATCAAGGAGATTAAAACGTGAAACAATGGAGAAATCACGGGTTAATCACGTAGATTAAGTTTATTGGATTGGTATATAGTCCGACAAAGGAGAAGCAATGGCTTCTGTTCAGGATTGAATTGATGAATTGTCCGACAAAGAATTAAGTCAGCCAATCAAGGCAGATTAAGTAGTTAATCAAGGCAGGTGAATGGGCGGTATATAACAATAAATACGTTGATCACTTAATTACCTAATCAATCCAGCCTATTATCAACGATAATCGGGTTGAGTGGTAGTTATACACTCAGTACTCTATATTACACTATATTAATTTTGGAATTTTGAATATTTTTACCATGTCTTGATGTCCGATTCGGCATATTCCTGGTTGGACAATTTAGGACGTTTGAAAAATAGCGTCGAACATGTCCGGAATATACGAGCAAAATCCCATCACTGCCGTGTGCACTTGTAGACAGCGTGTACTCCTACTAAAATCACCAGGATAAAGAAATATAGTGAAAGTCAAAGAAGACTTTTGAGTAGGCCATGAGACCGTTAAATGAACATTTTTAAATCAATCTCTAAAATACTCTTTTATTTGGATGTTTGGCTGTTTATTTTTATACGCCCACATGGAAATGTGGTTGTATATTGCCGTCGCTCCCGTCCGTCCGTCCATCCATCAGCCACAATTTCTTGTGAACACTCTACAGACTACATTTATCATCTGATTGTTTTGAAATTGATATATGTTGTTTGCTTTGGTGAGATGAAGAAGCCTATTTAATTTCAATAACTTCCGTTAATTTCTTCTGGAGTTATGGCCCTTGTTTCACTTTGTTGCACCTTGTGAACACTCTAACGACAAAAGTTATCAACCGATCTGTATGAAATTTATATGCATCATTTAAATTAGTAAAACAAAGAAGCCTATTGAATTTCAGCAATTTCCGTTAATTACATCTTGAGTTATGGCCCTTGTTTCACTTTGTTGAATCTTGTGAACGCTCTAATGACAAACGTTATCAACCGATCTGTATGAAATTGATATGCATCATTTAAATTAGTGAAATGAAGAAGCCTATTGAATTTCAGCAATTTCCGTTACTTTCTTCTGGAGTTATGGTCCTTGATTTACTTTGTTGAACTTTGTGAGCGTTCGAACGACAAAAGTTATCATCCGATCTGTATGAAATTTATATGCATTATTTGAATTAGTAAAACGAAAAAGCCTGTCGAATTTGAACAATTTCTGTAGATTACTTCCAGAGTTACGGCCCTTGTTTTAGTTTTTAGAACCTTGTGAACCCTCAAACGACGAAAATTATAATGTCATCTGTAGTATGAAATTGTCTATTAAATTCCCCTAATTACCTACGAAAGAATAAATATGTGACAACCCTTGTCGACTGCTCGGACGATTTAGCTGCTGTGGGCGTATGTTTTGTTGCCTGGCAACCTATCTTATGAAATTGAGAATATTCAAATTTGGTATAGGTGTTTATTAGGTCGAAGTCTTGATGGAGTTCGTAGATGAGCATTTTCTGCTTAGGGTAAGCAGAGATGAGCAATTTGATTGGTTGATGCTTTGGGACACGATAACTTTAGTTAAAATTAAGTGAGAGTGATGAAACTTGGTGTTTAGTTTCATTACATCAATACCTTGACTAAGTTCGATAATGAGCAATTGGATTGGCCAACCTTTTTGAACACACTAAATCTCCTTCTAATTGAGCTAGAATGTTCAAACTTGGTGTAGGTGTTTATTAGGTCAATGCCTTTATGGAGTTACGGGGATTAACATTTTCTGCTTAGGGTAAGCAGAGATAAGCAATTTGATTGGTTGATACTTTGGGATACGATAACTTTAGTTCTAATTAAGTGAAAGTGATGAAACTTTGTGTATAGTTTTTATACGCCCACATTTTCATGTGGACGTATATTGTCGTCACCCCTGTCTGTCCGTCCGTCCGTCCGTCCACAATTGTTTGTGAACAGTCTACAGGTCACAATCTTTATCCGATTCCAATGAAACTTGAAATATAGGTTTATCACCCTAAGATCTCGGTTCCTTTCGATATTGGCATGTATCGGACTGTAACTTCATGAATTATGGCCCCTGATTGTACGGAAAATGGCATTTTTAGCTTGCGGATTCTCTAGAGGTTACAATTTTTTTTTCCGATTTTAAAAATCGTTTAAATATTTCACCATTCCACCATAATGAAGGTTGACTTTGAATTTCGGGAAAATCGAAATGACACTGCCCAACAAAATGGCCGCTCTTTGTACGCAAATTGTGTAAAAGTATGCAATATGAAGGTTGTAGACCCTCTTAGAGGTCACAATTTTTGTCGGATTCTGATGAAACTTAAATCATATCTTTATATTCCAAAGATCTCAGTCCCTTTTGATATTTTCACATTTAAGACCATAACTTTCTTGATTATTGCCCCTGATTGTAATAAAAATCCCGTTTGTTTTTAGCTTGTTCTCTATCCATCTCTTGCAAAATGTGGGCATATCCTGCCTGGCAGCCGCTGGTTATCCTATTTTGTTGAAACTTGAAATGTAACTAACAGGGAGTTATTTTTTAAAATATTGTTCTCATTATTTAAGGCTATGGCATAGTCTTACAGAATTTTATTTTATAAGGCAATTTCAATTATGGTTGTCATGTGATCATTGTGCCGCTTGTCTATCATCCACGAATGAATAAAAACTTTGTAAGTTAGGTGATAGACAAAAACAATAATTTGTGTATTAAATATGAAGAAATGCCATGGTGTTGTATCAGCTTATTTTGGCTACTGAATTTTCTGATTCTGGTTGTAGTAGAAAAATCCTAATTTCGATTTTCTGATGACATCCGTTTATCCATCGAATAAACGAAGACAGTAAATTATTCAGGAATATTACGGACCTGAACTTCAAGTCATATCTTAGCCTATTCAGAATATGACATTCTCCATAACAAATTACCAAAAAATATTTTTGTTGAAGTCTGGTTATTTTAAAGTTAACAGGAGCTTCTAATTACCCTATTTTCTACCGGGACCTCATTTGACCTAATTCTGGACGGTTGGTTTCAAAATGAATTCAAATCCCTGTTCTTATCACAAATGCTAAAAAAGCTCTCCCCAAGAGATTCAGGAGAGCGATTTACCCTTTTTCCAATCCCAGGAGAGCTTTTTTTGACTCCCCAGGAATTTATTCATGTGAAGGCCTGTTATACTGATGTACTGCTAATTGATGATATTAGGTTGGTATTTTATAATATTGGGTAGTATTTGGTAGTATTGGGTTATTATTTGCTTGATTTGAGTGATGTAAGGAGGCAAATGGAACAGCCAGACATCGTTAATCACATTTGAAGTATATTTACCACGATATATCTCACTTTTTTTGAAAAAAATCAAGTAATATGGTAATTTTGAACCATAGTCCATAATGTTGTAGTATTGGGTAGTATGTGGTGATATTGGAGTGGTGTTTGGGTGGTATGGTATTAGGTAAATCATCCCGCGCCTCTTAAATGTAGTATTATGGAGAGTAATAAATGGAGTATCACTGGAAATGTAGATCAGTCGTTGAATTCTGTGGTTACATGTAAATTAACTGTGTTAGAAATTTGAATGAGATCAAAATATGTAACTGAAAGTAACACAAATTTTGTTTTTATTTCTTACAGTTGGATGAAACTTTGCTTTATGGTAAATCCTAGTGGTAAAATTCCTGTCAGAAGGTAAGAAATGATTATAAGTTTAATAGTTTATGTGCACGTTATAGTAAGAGATGTAGCTAGATCTTTTACTGAATTAGATAATTGTTAGTTACCACTGTTTCATATTTGTATTTACACTGTTCCGTGAAACAGGCACTAGATTTAATATAAAATACCTATACAAATGTCAATTAATATCTTAAACTTTTCATTTCAGTATTAGTCGAACCTTTGCTTCAGGTAAAACTGAAAAGATGATTATGCAATGTTTAAAGGAACTTGGGCTTCCTAGTGGAAAGGTAAATTATATTCACATATATTTAATTGTATTTTAGATCACGAGTCAGGTATGAAATGGATTCAAAGACGGAAGATAAAACCTAAGCAAACATGTAATTATTTTTCTTGTTTCTGGTTTAATTGCTATTCAGAAGATGAGTTAGACAGGACTTGTAAATAAAAAGAACAAAAGTAAAGTACATACAATGTAATGATGTTGCCTGCTTTAATAATCTTTAGGAAAATTCGTAACAAAGATCCAAGTTAACATAATTGATTTCTTTCATGCTTATTGGACCAAAAAGGTAATATTGTACCACACTGTAACTATTGTATCGTTTAATATTTAATAAGGGGTTTATAGCGTTAAAAACTATGCATATAGTTTAATTTCAAAACATCGTTTGATAATTGATAAAAATCGTTTGGAAATTACAAAAATGGTTTAATTAGTACTATGGTTTAATATAATGGTACACGGTTTAATTTCTCCGAGAGGGGTTTAGAAATGGCCGACCCGTTGACTTATCAAATGCGTTTATTTATTAGACGAGCAGTCCAATTTCCCAAGATGCATTTAGAAATCAACACCTGTTAATTTATCTACTGTGTTTTACTATTAGATGAATTGTTTATTTTCCCGCGAGCCGTTTATCCGATCGGTATATTTTGATTACGATTATTTGCATATTCAGTGCGAATAAAAATGGTGAATATAAAAAAAGCACACCCATAGATGCTCACCTTACCGTGGTCGTAGTATTATTATCCATTATCCATTCAAAATAGTAATTCGGCCATTGGCAAATACATCAAAAATAGGTAAATCACGTCCAAGGTAATTATACATTTGGAGTTCAGTAAATCACATCCCATTCGTTCGTTCGTTCCTGGAGTTTTACGTCCACTTCCACCTGAGGTGATATCGTAGACAAGTCACAGACATGATACATCCCAGGTAACACTGTAACATTGGTACCGTTTAATCTAGCGTAAATAGCGTTAATTTCTACTCTGTGTCCAATTATTCATAAATATTGTTTAATTTCGGCGAATAGTGCTCAACTTGTACTTCTATCGAATTTCAATCTCACTGTTAAATTTTGATTACCAAGTGTCTAATTAACTAGTGTTTAGTTTCTCGACACGTGTTGAATTATAAGCGTCCCGTCTAATTAGCACGACTGTTCAATAATTAGTTGGAACGTTCAATTTCCCGAGCCGTGATTAAAATCAGTCAAGGTGTCTAATTACGCAAGGTGTTCAATTTTGTTGTCAAACATCTAATTTCATGTGCGATGTTCAGACATTACGATGTGTTAGTTATTGGTCATCGTTCAGTTTTGCCGCCTAATGTCTATTTTGCCTCACGATGTTGAAATACTGTAATAAGTGTTAGTTTTAGTACTGACCTGTTGCGATACGGTGAAATATTATTTTTCAGGATTCATACGACGGCAGGTATCGTTTTGTCCACAATCATAAAACGTATATTTATATATCCATTTAAAACAGTATTTCCCACACTGACAACACATCCACGAATGATAAATCTCACGCATCTGATTTACGTGTGTACAAGTTGACTCCCTACCCTGGAGGTCACATAACGAGGATTAGACACCGGTGTTACATTTTTATACGCCCACATGGAAATGTGGTCGTATATTGCCGTCGGCCCCGTCCGTCGGTCCATCCGTCCGTTGTCCACAATTTCTTGTGAACACTCTACAGACTACATTTATCATCTGATTGTTTTGAAATTGATATATGTTGTTTGCATTAGTGAGATGAAGAAGCCTATTTAATTTCAATAACTTCTCTTAATGTCGTCTGGAGTTATGGCCCTTGTTTCACTTTGTTGCGCCTTGTGAACGCTATTACGACAAAAGTTATGAACGGATCTGTATGAAATTTATATGCATCATTTAAATTAGTAAAACAAAGAAGCCTATTGAATTTCAGCAATTTCCGTTAATTGCATCTAGAGTTATTGCCCTTGATTCACATTGTTGAATCTTGTGAACGCTCTAATGACAACAGTTATCATCCGATCTGTTTGAAATTGATATGCATCATTTAAATTAGTGAAACGAGGAATCATATTGAATTTCAGCAATTTCCTTTAATTACGCCGTGAGTTATGCCTATGGCCCTTGTTTCACTTTTTTGTACCTTGTGAATGCTCTAACGACAAAAGTTATCATCCGATCGGTATGAAATTTATATGCATCATTTAGATTAGTAAAACAATGAAGCTTATGGAATTTCAGCAATTTCCGTTAATTACATCTAGAGTTATGGCCCTTGTTTCACTTTAACAACAAAAGTTATCAACCGATCTGTATGAAATTTATATGCATCATTTAAATTAGTAAACCAAAGAAGCCTATTGAATTTCAGCAATTTCCGTTAATTACATCTAGAGTTATGGCCCTAGTTTCACTTTGTTGAATCATCTGATCTGTTTGAAATTGATATGCATCATTTAAATTAGTGAAACGAAGAATCATATTGAATTTCAGCAATTTCCTTTAATTACGCCGTGAGTTATGGCCCTTGTTTCACTTTGTTGTACCTTGTTTATGCTCTAACGACAAAAGTTATTATCCGATCTGTATGAAATTTATATGCATCATTTAGATTAGTAAAACAATGAAGCTTATGGAATTTCAGCAATTTCTGTTAATTACATCTAGAGTTATGGCCCTTGTTTCACTTTGTTGAATCATTTGAACGCTCTAATGACAACAGTTATCATCCGATCTGTTTGAAATTGATATGCATCATTTAAATTAGTGAAACGAAGAATCATATTGAATTTCAGCAATTTCCGTTAATTACACCGTGAGTAATGGCCCTTTTTTCACTGTGTTGTACCTTGTGAATGCTTTAACGACAAAACTATTATCCGATCTGTATGAAATTTATAGGTATCGTTTAAATTAGTAAAACGAACAAGCCTATTGAGTTTCAGCAAATTTCCGTTAATTACATCTAGAGTTATGCCCCTTGTTTCACATTGTTAAATCTTGTGAATGCTTGAAAGACAAAAGTTATCACCCATCATTTAAATTAGTGAAATGAAGAAGCCTATTGAATGTTAGCAATTTCTGTCAATTACTTCTAGAGTTATGGCCCTTGTTTTACTTTGTTGAACCTTGTGAACGTTCGAACGACAAAAGTTATCATCCGATCTGTATGAAATTGATATGTATTATTTGAATTAGTAAAACGAAAAAGTCTGTCGAATTTCAACAATTTCTGTAGATTACTTCCAGAGTTACGGCCCTTGTTTTAGTTTTTAGAACCTTGTGAACCCTCAAACGACGAAAATTATAATGTCATCTGTATGAAATTGTCCATTAAATGCCCCCTAATTACCTACAAAAGAACAAATATACGACAACTCTTGTCGACCGCTCTGACGATTTAGCTGCTGTGGGCGTATGGTTAGTTGCCTGGCAACAAATCTTTGTGTCAAGTTAGGAACCAACTCAAAATCCACATTCCCGTAACCGAAACGGATTTATAAATAAATATTTAGCTATGATAAATTAATAACAAAAAGCAAATGGTATGTATTTATATGTATGCACACTAAACACTAAAAACAATCACAAATAATGCAGGTTATTTCTCATTGGATCTTCTTCAGGTTTTCATTTTTATACGCCCACATTGAAATGTGGTCGTATATTTTTATGACTTGAACAGCTAAATCCATGATATTAAAAGCTTTGTATATTATTTTTGTTATACCCGAATCATATTGCATTAAATCAAAGGTACATTTATCACTACCCTATACGTATGGTATTAAAAAATAATGTGCGTCGGGGAGGTCACATAACGAGGATTGGACACCGGTGTTACATTTTTGTGTCAAGTTAGGTACCAACTCAAAATCCACATCTCGAAATTGAAACAGATTTATAAATAAATACCAGCAGGATACCCGGCTTCACTCGGCTGTCATAACTCTGAAACCAGAAGTGGTAGACTAACGCCACCTGGCCTATGTTACTCCCCAGTCCGAGCTACCCCTATACCCCAAATTTCAGACTCGGGGCAGACCTAGTGTAGCCCCAACCCCGAACAGACAGACAGACAGATACCCGAACAGACCGGCCTCGCTCGCGGGTCATAACTATGAAACCGGAAGTGGTAGACTAACGCCACCTGGCCTATGTTACTCCCCGTTCCGAGCTACCCCTATACACTAAATTTCAGACTCGGGGCAGACCTAGTGTAGCCGCCAACCCCGAACAGACAGACAGACAGACAAACGACAGTCACAAATATTAGTATAGATTTAGCTATGAGAAATTAATAACAAAAAGCAAATTGTATGTATTTATAATTATGCACACTAAACACTAAAAACAATCACAAATAATGCAGGTTATTTCTCATTGGATCTTCTTCAGGTTTTCATTTTTATACGCCCACATTGAAATGTGGTCGTATATTGTGGTCGTATATTTTTATGACTTGAACAGCTAAATCCATGATATTAAAAGCTTTTTATATTAAACGTTAGCATGGGGCAGAACTTTATAAAAACCAAACAAATTCTAATCATTTTCTGATTATTACTTCATGAGTTGTTACTCTTAATCAGATTTTAGTGTATTATAAATGTTTCATTACCGAAAAAAGTAAAAATATGCGACAACACTTGTTGACTGCCCGGACGATTTAGCTGCTGTTGGCGTATGTTTCATTGCCTGGCAACCTATCTTTTTTATATTCACCATTTTTATCCGCACTTCATATGCAAATAATCGTAATCAAAATATACTGATTGGATAAACGGCTCGCAGGAAAATAAACGATTCATCTAATAGTTAAACACAGTAGATAAATTAACAGGTGTTGATTTCTAAACGTTCCTTGGGAAATTGGACTGCTCGTCTAATAAATAAACGCATTAGATAAGTCAACGGGTCAGCCATTTCTAAACCCCTCTTGGAGAAATTAAACGGTGTACCATTAAATTAAACCATGGTACTAATTA